CCTACATACCACTGGCGGTTCTACAGGTCGCAGGTTCAATTCTTCGAGTTGACACAGATATTGTACACAGGTAAGTTGGGGAACTAGGGATCGAGGCCTGGGTTCTGCATCAGCTACTTCGAACTGGTGAATTCAGTTTCACTCCTGCCGGCCTAAATTCGAGGTCCTCCGAGAAAATTTCAGTCCAAGGCAGGCCCTTTACCCTTTTGCTGTCTTTCGTAGGCCCGGACTATATTGGGAGCTGTCTCTAGAAGTTCAGATCTAGTAAACCAGCGGTCGTCTTGCGGTTCTTGATAACTAAAGTGAACCTTGTACTGTTTCTGTGGACGACCCCTACCTCCAGTCCTGAATACATCTTCAGCCACTATTCCATCAATGTCGTATCTTCCATCCATATCCGGTGGGATCATGGACTGGAGGTAGGCCCAGGAACGAGCGCAACTCTGTCAGCGTACGTGGCGTGGGCCAATCTCAAATCGCTGCGATCTTGCTRTCTTCTGGCTTAACGCCGTCTCCGTCTAAGACGTGGCCTAGATACAAAACTTGGGTCTTCGCCCAATCGCACTTCTTCGCATTGATCTTGAAGTTAGCTTCTCTCAGCTTCTCCAAGACCTGCCTGAGATGACTCTGATGCTCGTCGAGGGTCTTACTAAACACTAGAATGTCATCTAGATAAACTACAACGAATCTGTCTAACCACGGCCTAAACAAATCATTCATACACCGCTGAAAAGTTGCTGGCGCATTGGTTAGTCCAAAGGGCATCACTATAAACTCATAATGCTCGTACCTAGTCCGGAAGGTTGTCTTATACTGATCATCAGGGTGTACCTCTATCTGATGATATCCGGACTTTAAGTCTATCTTAGAGAAGTACTTAGCCCCCTGCACTCGATCTAAGAGATCGTCTATCCTTGGCAGTGGCTCAGCATTCTTCACTGTAATCGCATTCAGACCCCTACAGTCTATGCACATTCTCAGCTCTCCCTCTTTCTTAGGAACAAAGAGGACAGGTGCTCCGAAAGGAGACGAACTGGGCCTAATCCAACCCCTCTCGAGGAACTCGTCTAACTGCTTGCGAAGTTCCTCTAACTCCTGTGGGGACATCCTGTATACGGAGCCCTTGGGAGTTCTACTGCCAGGCTCTATCTCAATGCGGTGCTGGATGGGCCGCGGTACTACTCCTATCGGCGGCTCGGTTAGATCTTTGAATTCCTCCAGCAGTTTGGCAATCGCAGGGTCCATCGGTTTCTCCTCCATAGGCTCAGTGACTGGCCTAACATAGGCAACAAAGACCTGTTCCTCCTATCCCTCCTTCACCAGTCTGGCGAACGCGGGGGCACTAAGGCAGCAATGCGCCAAGGAATTCTCTACCCCTGACACATGGAACAGGCGGGCAGTCTTGGCCTCGCCTGACGAACTAGGGAGCCTACACTCGTGCTCCTTCAAATGGAGCGTGGCCCCGGCTGCCTCTCCCCAATCCATTCCCAGGACAATGTCAAATGGGAGGCTGTCCTCTACGAGGAGAGTCAGGGAGTGGAGGACCTTCTCCACTTTCCCATCTTTCTCTAGGCGAAAATACGCCTAGACTCCCCCTACGTAATCCTCTACAATCATAGTACGATTGTCTGCGAGGATACTAACTATGGGGTTTGTCAATTTCTGGACTTTAAGTCCCAGCTTCAACTTCTGCAGCGCTTTCCTACTAATATAGCTGCGAGTGGCCCCCGAGTCTACTAGAGCCCCGACTCTATTTCTAAAAATCTTTGTATCTAACAAAATCAGCTGCCCTTTATTCTCCTTCTTCATCTTGGCCCAGGCGGGCATCCTCTCTTTCAATTCTTCGGCCACGCCTGTGAGGGAGGTGTCTAGCGAAACTCTAACACAAGCAGTTTCGGGACAGCTGTCTAGACACCGGCTTGCAACCTCTGCCGTAGGCACGTGTGGTGTGGGAGTCTCCTGCCGGCTAGCGCTATGTTCCCCACATGACCTAATGGTAGGGGCAGTTGCTACCCCTACCGGCGGCTGCCTTTTGGCCCTTGGGCAGCCGTTCGGGTCTCTCTGTACTTAGGACAATATTTGATGATGTGGCCYGGGTCACCGCAGAAAATGCACTGGCCCCGGTCCAATCGTTGTTGCCATAAAGCCTGGTCCAGACCCAAAGATTCCCAAGGCCTACCCTGGGGTAGCCCTGGGTGCCATCCTCCTACCCTGTAGGGAGACCTATTCCTAGGACGGTTTTGCGGGGGACCTTGACCCCTGCCTCCCACTTGGCGGTTTCCTCCCCTGCCGCCAACCCCCTGATCGCCCTGGAACCGGCTCCCTGAGGCCCGGCCCCCTTGGCCCTGGCCTCTTCCTTGCGGCCTCCCTCCAGCCGCGACAGCAGCATAAGATCTCCCCTGGCCCATACCGCTGTCCCCCTCTAACCCCCACTCAATCTGGTCGTAGGGGATTTCGTCCACACTACCTTCGTCTAAAGTGAGCACAAGGCTATCCTTAGTCTTGACCTGCCCTGAGATAGTGCGACCCTTCCATGGTTTCCCTTTGTCCAAGTCTTTGTGCCAGAAGGTAGACACGGACGCAGACTTGGCTTCGAAAGCCACCACTTCACGACTAAGAGAATCGTACGTAGTGGCAGGGKCTTCGCTCTTTGCGAAGAAATGCCCTCGCAAGGCTTCGGGCATGGCCCGGTAAAAGAGATTGACCAGTTGGGCTTCTGTGACCTTATGGTCAGGGACTGCCACCAACTCATCCATCGTACCCTTGAGTGCTCTAGCACTCTTCCATTTACGAGCATGGATGGTTTGGAGCTTATCTGAAGCCTTAATACTGCGGGCGACATCAGCAAATCGCTCGCGCAGCAACTTCAGGAATTCGGTGAGGGAGGTAAACGAGGAGTAGGCAACGGGATCGTCGCTACAGTTAGCGGCACGAACCAAGGACCTTGCAAAACTGGCGGCCTCGTCTTTAAGCGCGTGAATCGCAATCAGGACCTGCTGATCCAGGGAGACCTGTTGCAAATGCACATAGGTCTTGACGTTGGCCTCCCTGTTATCAAAGTTCTCTTCCCTCTTCCCACTGTAGGAATCCGGGAATTTGACCTTGATCGGCTCTCTACGTGGCGGGCGTGGTTCCTCTTCCTTGGGGGCTGCCGCCTTGACGCCTTCAATGGCGCCAGCACAGAACCGCTCAGTCTTGTCGAGGCGATGACCCACCTCGGCCCCAACGGCGCCTACCAGCTCACGAGCGAAGTCCCTAAAGCCCAATCGTATCGAGCGCACAGCTATATCTTGACTCCTGCTGAAGTCATACTGGTCTGCTTGGACTCGTGCCAGGCATGCGATGCTTCGAGCCACGACTCGCATCTGATTCGGGAAATCGGGTTGGGCGGCTAATTGCTGTTCTATCGTTTTCACTTCCTCTAATGCTTCCGCCGCCTCTACTGCCTTGTCAACTCTCCTCTTTTTCTCCCTCATCACCGCTAACTTCCACTCCATCCTCTTCTCATCTTCCAACGCCTGGCGTCTAAGGGGGTCTTGCTCTGCATCCCAAGCCCTCATGGCAGCTTCTTGCTGATCCTGCGGGATATACATACTAACCTCTTCCTCTTCTCCCACAGTCAGGTTGGCAACCCACTCGGATATTCTCTTCTCCAGGTTCCCACCATTACCGCTACTGGGCTGCCCACTACTCTTCTGCAGTGGCGGACCTTCCTCTTCTTCATCCATCTCCTTCAGCTTCTCTTCCTCTTCCCTTTTCAACTTCTCTTTCTCCCTGGCCATCTCTTCTTCCATCTTCTTTAACTTGGCCGCCTGCTCCTCCTTCAAGGCCTTCTTCTTGGCCTCCTTCTCCTTCTTCTCCTGCAGAATGGCCGCCATCTTCTCCTCCTCCTCCTTCGTGTAAGGGGTGGTGGAAGTGCCACCACGAGTGGGCCCTACTCTACACGCAAAGGTGGGCCAGAAACCCAGCGGGAAGAGGAGATGCCAGAGGGTCCCCCAGAGGGAGAACCCCGCAAGTAGCCCATACATCGGATAGTCATCCATCGTGGTGTTGGTGCACGACAGGGGTCCCACTCCTCACCACGTAGACCTACCCGGACACACTGACCTACTGACTGACTCCCTAAGGGCCACAGGCAACTAACCCAAGACTACTCTAAGGCTGTCACTACAGAACCAAAAGCTGATCAGGAGGTATTTTAGAAGATCCCCCAACTTCGCAAGAATTCT